AAAGCGAGAGTCTAATGTAGAAACAAAAAAACAGATCTCATGCCTTATGTTTTTGTACACTTCCGCGAAGGCTTTTTGCATCAAGAATAAGATAAATATACGTATAGTATATACAATTGTTTTATCTTTAACGAGGACAGGAATTTACAACAAAATATTAGGTTTATATATATATATATACATAAAAATAATGAACAGAGAAAAAGCAAGAAACTTGAATGAAAGTAAAACGAACAAATGTTTAAACCTAATATTTTGTTGTAAATTCCTGTCCTCGTTAAAGATAAAACAATTGTATATACTATACGTATATTTATCTTATTCTTGATGCAAAAAGCCTTCGCGGAAGTGTACAAAAACATAAGGCATGAGATCTGTTTTTTTGTTTCTACATTAGACTCTCGCTTTCGTCAAATATCAAAACTACTAAATATCAAAACAATAACACACTTATCTCATTTTAAATTCCAAAAGTATATATGTACTACAATTTTTTTACTATTAGAGTTCATCTGAATTCAGCTAAAAAGAACAAGCCTATTAACGAGTCCAACCACAGAAAACAGACGTATATGTACGTACAGTGACGTATATACCTGTCATTTCGATAGCGTGTATATTTTTATTGTTTTCATTCAAAACTTTAAAATCATCAAAGATCTCTTCTCATGCGAAACACTTCGATTCTTTCTTCATGATTGTTTGGTATTGAGGTAATTAGTAAAATTGTGATAATTTGATACTTAAGATCTAACCTAAAATATAATTATTGAACTATGTATACAATTATGAATTTTATGTTTTTACTATACATATAAAAAATGGTAATAAAGTTCGAAATTATTCGTTTGCTTTTAACAAAGTTGTGTAAAAATGTTAAAGGTACACAGAACGTTTGAAATGATAGATTCACAGGACATTAGTAAAGAGGAATTAGAAGTATTGAAAGGCGATGCTGTGGGTAACAATCTCTGCAGTAGCAAATGGATAATTAATACTCTGATGTCTCTACTTAAGGTAATTTCTTATACGAAAGTTATCCTGTGTGTGATAATTATAATACATTATAATTATCCTATTATACAGTATTATAATTAGCCTATTATAATACTGCAGAGGAAATGGTATGAGCAATGCTTAAAGTAGAGCGTGTAAACATATACAGAAAATACAACCCGAGTATGGTATTCATAATAATAGTGATATATTTCAGGTTAATGAAAATGGTTGGACGGAAGAGCTCGAAGATCAGCTTTGTACTCTATGGGATTTAAGTACGGAAGGAGAAGTAGTGTCATATCTTTTGTCACAGGATTTTCTTCAGATAGCGAAGTACTTGTTAACAATTTGTGACGAACCAAGATTCACTGTACGATTCATTTATCTTTATCATAACATATTTTATTTAATTCTACTTTAACAATTTTTTATTGTTTCTCTCTCTCTCTCTCTCTCTCTCTCTCTCTCTCTCTCGCTCTTGCTCTCATCCTCTCATTATCAAAATATATTTGTAGGAAATAGTCTTAGGTATTATTGGCAATGTATGCTGTAATGATGAAGCCATTGATACACTAGGATGTGATCAAGAATTAGTTAAACAAATCCTGAGCCATCTTGAATCCAGCGACTCATTAATATTGATCCAACTTATCAGGATTTTACAATTAATTGCATGGAAAATTCGACAAAATCCTCAATCAAATTGGATAGTTCATCTTACGGAATGTGAATTTTTCGGAGCTACTATAATTTTTATATTAAAGAGTTCAACTAATGGTATGCACTGTACTATGTTGTAGAAGAATCCTAGTTAATATAATCTTAAAATCTCTCTTTATTGCAGATAACTTATTAATATCCACAATGAGTTTACTTGAATTTATATCTCAGATAAAGCTGCTAGAAAAACTGTTTAAAATAAACGACTTGATTCCTGGTCTGTTAGAATCGTTTGCACAGATATTATCTGAAGGAAAAACTAGTCTCTCCGAATTAACGTTTGTCCAACATTGGCTGGCAGTGCTAATTGCTATAATAGAATCTGGCTCACTTACATTCGAGGACTATGAGAATGACGACAGGTTTTTCAAGCTGATGGATATCATGTACAGGATATTAAAACCATATAACAAGTCATACAATTTATATCCAATTCAGCAACAGAGTGCTAACATAATTTACGATGCTATGCGAGTATTATTAATTTTTCGTCGTTGCAACGTAAACATCCCAACAAGGATAGATTGTATTATCGCGATTCTAATTTTCTCCCTTAAAACAGGTAGGTAACATTATTTTTTTAACATTGTGAATACACACACACACACACACGCACACAGTGCACATGCAATTATTTTTTTCGTCTAATAACGTTTGTATTAGTTTTAGAAGCAGATGAGGAAAACAAGATGCGAGAATTAGATCCTAACGAGCTAATAAATGATCTTTTAGATTATATTATTAAATACTGGTTGTATATCATTGAATCTTGTACCAGCGAACAGATTGTAGAAATATTAGGTTTATGTGATAATGAGGTTCGTGAATGTCTAATAAGTCTTACTCAATCTAAAATGATACCTGAGGTGCTTGACAAGGTGAAAAAAGTTGTTATTGCTTTTGAAAAGAATTAAAAAAGATATTTCTTAGTGTAATATATTAAAAATATATGAATTATTGCTTTATTTTTCTTATATAATATTATGTAATATAAGAAATATAATAGTATAATATAATAATATTGTACAAAGTTTGTTATGTGTGACATTATATATATAATATTGTATACAAAATTGTAGTTACTGAAATCGACGATTTTAATTCAAAACGTATTATAATTATATTAAGATTTGATTCTAATTCCATTCCAATTCTATCTATTCTAGTAATTACAATTTTATATTTAATATGTGTGTGTGTGTGTGTGTGTGTGTGTGTGTGTGTGTAGTTCAGAAATAACGTTTTTACATTTTTATTCCATAAATTCTATACTAGTTCTTAGGAATTATTAGGATAAAAAATTACGTACATCATGTAAAATTAATTGATTGTACTTTTATTGTTTGTATTTATTGAATTTTTTATAAACTTTACTCATCGAACTATTGTATTTACATTTTCTCAAATTAATTTGGAATCGTGCAAGAATTTTAACTAAAAAGAACAAACCTTCTAACTCAATGGACTAGTTCAGAATTCTTCGAAAAAGAACAGACCTACTGTGTCGCTTGCTGAAAAAGCACCACGTTCTTTTCACGCATGCGTGAAACAAAGGTGGCCAATCTGCTCTGTGTGTGCTTGATTTTGAAACGTACATACAGATTCAAATGTAGCAAAACTACCCGTCGGTTACATCACCAATTATTAATTCGCTCATATTCTGTGTTGTTAAAATTGGGATTCGATTTGTGAGATGATGTAAAAGAAATCCTTTCGTCTAGATTGCCTTAGATTCAGTATAATAAAAAAAGAATATTGACGTGCGCCAACAATCCTGTTTCTCTCGTAATGACGATGACATAATTACGGTAAGATTCATTTTCTCTATGCCATCATGAGTTGAACGTTTCAATTCGGGGGGGGAGGGGGCGCCAGGTGGTCCATACAAGAAAAAGTGTAGGGGAGAAGAGAGTCCATGTGAGAAACAAACGAACTCGATTTCCCGTTGTTTGACTGCAATTTCCTACACCTATACACCTTCGCGGGAAAATCAATCAATCAATTATTACACGCGACAATTATTTTTCTCCCCCCCCCTCCTCCCCGTCACGACGTATATCACCGCGGTGAAGGTAAACGGACGGCCTTGCTTCTCCGGATACCCCTCTCGCCATTGCCCCTTGAGACGGTGGAATGGGGTGATGTCGGCCCGGCTTTTCAGTGCCGATTGCGAGTGATTGTGAGATTAGTTTCGTTATCACGGTTGGGTTCCTCGTCATCGAGGCTCGAGATGCCTGAAGGCGTTATTTCGCGACCCCTGTAAAATACAAATAGAGATCCCTCTCCGCGTATGTGTTTATATGCGCGAGTATACAAGTGTCTCTCTTTCGCAGAATCCCGGTGACGATTCGCACAATTTTCAGCAACATCATGTCCACGGGATTAGAAGAGGTCGAATTGGAAAATGGTGATTTTTTATTGATAAATCGAGCTAATTAAATTTAATGAAGATGAAGTTCCTGCTTGAGTGGCTCTGCATTACAACCTGTTTTCGTCGTTAAATTCGATCGAAGTTTTCATTTTTAATTATAAATTTATAATATCTGCCTTTTTTGCATAAAATTAAATTTTATTTAACAACAATAAGACAATTAAAAAAAACAGAAAATAAGTGATAGGTGTATAGTGGATGGCATGTCTATTTCTATCCGTGTAGATTAATTTTTATCTCGCTTAGTTTTTTATAATTAAAAATATTTACTTTTATATAAAATATACAGGAAATTAAATAATTCTATGCAGAAAAATTGCAAAAATTGCAAAGATTTGTGTCTACAGTTGAGAATTAATTCACAGGATTGAATTGCTTTTCATTTCTACTAACGTAGATTAACTTAATCTTGGTTCAACTTATTCTTTACTGTTCCTAATTCTTATGTTCATTTCTCTTAATGTTAATTAATTTTAATTTCAGTTTAATTTACTCTTCATACCTTTCTAATTTTTAGAAAAATATAAAGTTAGTTGAACCGAAATTAAAATTAAACTAAGTGCATTGGTAGAAACGAGGCATAGTGGCACAAATCAACACAAACATCATTCTTGACGATTCTATGAGAAATAAAGTCTGAACGATACTTGTGTCGACTTGTGTTACCAAATGGAAAGCACTCATTGTTTTGTAGTTGCGTTTAAAGAGTCTTTAATTCATTGCGAATTAAATATCGCGAGTCTGTTTTTCGCCCTCAGAAGAGTGGAAAGTGACCAAGACCTCTATTTTTGAAAAGAAACGTATACGAAATTCTAGGAAAATACTATAATATACGTAATATATACTGTAGTATTTTTCTAGACTTATATGCGTTTCTTTTCAAGAATAGAGACACAGAAATGATCCGTCATTTTTCTAGTTTTGCAGCAGATATTCATGAATTGCGCCTCAATGTCGACCTTGATGCCGGATTTGACGGTTCTGATAGACGATGCGGTGCCGATTTCCAGAATCGTCGAGTACATTCAGGATCAATTGCCGAACTGGTCGTGAGTGCCCGCACAAAACGGGACAACGTTAATTTTCTTATCAGAGACGCATAGACACGCCGTGTCGTTCGTCGATATTGACGAACATAAGACGCGACCGGGATACAGCTTGAAACAAATTGCCGGTATGTGTACACCAGGCGGCCGATCGATACAAGGACAAACGCGATCGACGACTTGGCGCACGGCTTTAAGCGTAGCACATTTTCGCGAGACGAGATACGGAAAGCCACGTGGAACACCGAGGCGAACCTCGAATATAAACTGTCGCGATTTTCAGTGTAACTGATGTTCATCTGTGTTATATAATATGTAGTCCATGTATGTAAATGAATGGAATTCATTTGCATACATTGATTACATATATTTAAGTGTCTGTGCGGTAGCTCGATTTCTGCAAAAAGAATCGTTCTTGCAAATACTGCAGTGTAACGTGCTAATTTTGATCAATAGAATCGACAATCTGGAGGAATTATGGAAATGTTTAGTCGCCATTTCGACGAAGGATTGCGTGAATTTACAACAATTCAAAGAGGCGACAAAATGCTGGATCACCAAGATTCAACAGATTCAGTCTGCGGAGCACAGCGATAATAATGTCCAGGAGAAACTCTCGTAAGAGGAAACAGAAACTTTGTTTAATTTAAAAAACACGTCGCATGTGTATAAACGGCATGTAGCGAAATGCACGAGTTCGTGAGACTTTTGAATAATTCGATGCGGTCGCTACTTGATAATCACAAAATTATTGCTGGAAGGAAGAAGAGATGGACGCACTTTTAAAGTAAACACACTGATTCTTTGTCTTTAATTTAAAACATTGCGCCGTAAATTAAGAAATTGCGACGCGAAATTACTGCGTGGATATGTAACAGCGCGGAATTCAGTGAACCGTAAACTTGATACATGGAACGCGTCGACCGGGAAAAAGCAAACGCGCGGTATTTAGACTTCAGAGGAATTGATTAGTAGTTAACCGAGTTATCCGCACTCTTCGCGCGAAATGTATTATTAGCACTGTATCTACATCTATTCTTTTCAGCTAAACTTGAACGACTTTTCATTCTTTTTCTCTCTATGGAGGAAAAGAAGAAAATATGAATTATGCAAGAAGTTTAGCTCAAAAAAACAGACTTTATATAGTTCTTTTCAATTGAACTTAAATATAATTTATTTTTCCTTATTTTCCACATTGGAGGAAAAAAGAGCAAAGAAGGACGTTGCAAGCTCAACTAAAAAACACAGGGCTTGTATTCTTGAATTTATATTGCAAAATCTATAATAAAACAAAAATCTGTAATATATATAACGTATATTATTACATGCTGAAATACGATCCTGTTTTCTGATTTTCGTATGCGATATTTGTCGAAAATAAAGCTTCAGCTAGGCTTTCTGTCGCAGACAAATTCGTTCAGATCCGTTTTCGATCGACATATATAATACAAACTCAGTTTTATTATTATGTAACGCAAACATATAGATTCATACACGTTAACAGTCGCGGCATATATTAACGTGATGGCATCGTTTGTATAGATTGTTTTTGGAAGACATCGTAAAACTTATATATAGACGGTAATATTTTCTTCGCCCATTCAGTGCAACGCGACATTATCGCATATATACTCGATAAGCGGTTGGACCGCTTCGATCGTGCGATAGTTTAACCGACTACGCTACCTTCTCATTTAGAGGCAAAAATTATTCGCGGTTCTACGAGCGCGTGATACGTGTAAGACATATAAATATGTATATATATGTATATTGTATATACCCGCGCATACACGTATTCAAATGAGCTCGCGACATCGAGTCAGTTTACTTTCTTTACTTCGATGAGTATAGCGCGAACGACGTATACCGCTCGTTAAATTTTATTAGAGCGATCCTACCTGAGGAAACTGATAAGAAATCACAGGAATGAATTTGAAGCAAATCAATTCAAAATTTGGTCGAATCTGCGAAATTGTACGCTTAATACTTGATATATCAATGCAACATAGACGACTTTCAGGGAATTCATGAATGAAAGGTATAGATTTAACATTCTAAGTTCAGAATGCATAGTTTAATTATATTTCTTATTTCTATTTAATTCCATGAGCTTTTTTAAGCGGAAAATGCCACGTGCACTATGCCTGCGTCACTTATATGCAGCCGGTCACTTATATGCAGCCTACCGACAGCGATCCGATTCACATTCTTGGAGTCATTTCGTCGTTGTTATTTATCGAAGTTAAACAAGGACGAGTAATGCTTACGAACGTTGTGAGCATGAATCGTACCGCAGCTTGTACCAGTGGCTTGTGATAAAGGCTGATTGCCACTCACGAAAAAACATACGTGCTGAAATTTCGTTCGATACAGCCGACATAAGCGCGAAGCGAAACAACGACTGAATTGAAAAGAATGCTCAGTGAACACAAAGTTACATGTAACGTATCTGTTAGTTGTAATTTCTCCACTCAACAATATAATTATAACACAATACTTTTGTTATGTTATGATTATATTGTTGAGTGGGGAAATTACAACTAACTGGCATGTTACATGTAACTTTGTGTTCATTAGGTGTTTTATTCTCTTCAATTCGTCAGTTTATTCTTTGTACGAACATTCTCTGTGCATGTATACATGTGTATTTATACATGTATATGTGTGTATTTGTATATTCTCATGGATAAATCCCCCCTAGTCGCGGAGCACCGCCAATTTCTCGCCGCTGGTCCCAATAGAGTCGAATAAGCGACACACAGGTGTTATTCGTGCGGTGTATGTGACGAATATTGTGGCAGCTGGAAATCGGCACGCGATATCTCTTATGCAATTCGCGTGTGGTGTTCAGTCGTTGCTCGCCTGTGGTCATATCTGGTGATCTCGTTAACGCCGATCGCGATCGTAAACAGGAGAAATTGGCTAATTTATTTCTGGAATTATTTACGTGCCCTCCACACGATTGATCGCGCGCGAAACGCTTGTGTGAATCTCCTCTAATTATTATGAATTGTTGAATGCAGCAGCTTAATTATTGTTGCGAATGCTCATTGCGAAATCGAAGAATTTAGAGTTAATTTATCGACGCGATGCTGGCACGTTTATGATAGTGATAGACGCATTCGATCTTGCATCGTTTATCTATTATGATTTGTGATCCGTACAAGAAGTAAGTGGGATATTCGGTCCAGATTATATCGTAATATTATATTGGATACAATGAATTTAAAACATGCATGTAAATAATAGATGAATTATTTTAATATAAATTTCTTTGGCAATACAATTTTACTAAGTGCATCAACTATATCTGTTTTTCTGTTTATTGAACTTAGACTCAATGAAGGTATATATGAAGATATATATCTTCATAGATATATTTTCATATATATCTTAACTAAGTTTAACGATAAGTTCAATAAACAGAAAAACAGACATATATGAAGATATATGACTTTTTATGTTTTATAGTTTAATTAATGTTTTGAATCATAAATTACTTGACGTGGATAAACACTTAGTTCTCTCGATAGCTTTTTTGTTACGCATTAACACTAGAAAGGTTAATCACTTAACCTTTCTAGTGTTAATGCGTAACAAATCATTATTGATCGTTTTTTTATTTTTAAATTGATATTACATTTTTTTTTGTATAAAAGATAAATCTGAAATTTTTTTGATTTTTCAATAATTATGTTCTTTGTTTCATAAGAAAAATTTGCTCATTTATTTCTTTTTCTATTTTTATAGTAATTTATTTATTTATTCTTTTTTTAGTGAGTAAGAAACACATTGTATTTCTAGTGTTAAATAAATATATTATGTACAGTACATAAAGGCAAATTAATGTGTTTAATGTAGGATGTGCGTTATGTCATGTAATAATAACTTTTATTTGTACAACGGTTGGTAATAATACATGATACATACTAATTGCCGTAGCCTCGTGAACGACGCAGACTCTTCAATGAAAACCATGGATCTGACTAATGATATCGTGAAATTAGAGTTTCGAAATATGAAATTTCGAAAACTCTGCGAGGAAAACAATGTCCTTCGCGACGAGCTCGAGCGACATGAAAGATCAATCAACAATCTCAAACAACAACACAGTATTACTGAGAAACAGTTGTGCGTATGATTTACTTAGCATCCAAGTGTTCTGTTTTTATGGATAATTTCAAAAAATTGATTTATATTAATATATTCTTATGATATTTATGCTTCAGCGATATTATATACATGTTTTATTAATGCAGAAAACATTATGTTCACAAATGTCAGCAATTCGAAAAGGAAAACGATGAGCAAAGAGATCAATTAAACGAGTTGATTAAGAATGAAAAGACTATGACCTTGGCTCTTCAAAGATATACGAAAGAGCATCAGAACTTGTTGAAGCAATTGGAAGCCGCGGAAATTGAGGTAAAAACTAATTGCATCTTATTATTTTATAGGAAGCTATTCATGATTTCCGTTTAGACGTAGAAATTACACGTTTACATTTTTATTTTGTATTTTCCATAATTTTTCGTAACTAATGTTCAAATATGAATTCTTGGATATAATATAATATTCGACATTTTGAATAAATTTTGGAATAATAAACATTTGATTATAAATAATCTTTATTATATTCAATTTTTAAATGCTTTTATTGTTTTTAACATACAAATAAATAGATACAAGCTATACCACCTTTAAAAGAAAAACTAGAGAAAATCACTAAAGAAAAAATAGAGTGTTTGAAACTGATCACCAAAATACAAGAGGAATTTGACGAAAAGGAAAACAATTATTGTCAATTAAAAACTACAATAACCGAACTCGAGGACACGAATATTAGCATGAAAGAGGACTACGAATATATGATTCATGTAAGTTTGAAGTATTCCTTGGTATTCATATAATCACGTACAACGAATTATAATGCGACAACGAATCATATATTGCAGAATCTGCGTGAAAAGAATCGTAAACTCATGGACGAAAATGTGGAGCTCCAATCGTTATCAGTCCTTAACGCATGTTCTACCGAAGAAAGAGTAAACTATTAATATTATAGAAATGTAAAATTGTAAAAATAATTTCTCGCGATGTAATCGGCACGATTATTTACAGCTCTCGTTATCACCAGTTTTGGACGATGAATGCTATCTACATAGCACACCCTATAAGTCGATAAAAGTATCAATGGAAGATTCATTGTACACGGAATTGAAAGTTTCAGTAAGTGAAAATATTTCGAGTTATATTAATATAACATAAGTGATACGAACATTTTAATAGAGATTTTAATTTTTTTCTTAATATATTTTACATATTTTAGGGCTTTACAGCTGACTACAGCAGAAATAACATACAAGAACTTGAGGAAGAATTAAACGAATATGACGCCAAGATTGTTACGATATTGGAACAGCTAGAAAAGTCATTATATTTCAGTTTAATTATTTTTTATTTCCTCTATTAATCGGTTTTTCCGATTTAACAATTTTAGTTTTGAGCTTGCTTTACGTTTTATTTGCGATTGATTTTCAGAGTTATACAATTTTTTGTTACGATACGGGGCTCTGTCGATGACTTATCTTGCTTTAATCCAGACACAGACACAAAAGCTCATAATATCGATATATTGAGGCACAAAGTATCTTTTCTATTAAATATGGTGAGTTTTATTCTTGTTTTTATTTTAGGATTTTTCTTTCATCGCTAACATCTTTTTGATGTTGATAAGGCATACGGCATACTTAAATTACCTTGACACGCGTGTTGTACTTGTCGCGACGTTACTATAGTTGGTTGATCGCATTAGCAATGAACACTAATTTTCATGACAAAGCGACACATATTCTTCGATTTTACGTATATGATCTTTCTCGCTTTTTTTTTTCTTTTGCCTTGTTCTCTTATCTATTCACGTCTTTTCGCAGATGACAGAAGAGATCACGAAAAGAAACATGAGACAGGATTCGAGCACACAGCTCCAAGTCGAGCCGACAAACGCAACCAGTTTGGAGCAATTTGGCGTCAGGAGTTTCCGGGATCTGTTGTCGACGCACGCAACGTAAGTTAACAACGTTCGCATGAGACATCGATGCGTAACACTTGCGCGTCTGTATTCGAAATTGTGAGCGTACCATAGATCAAAATGAAGATGATTAATTCCCGGAAGAAGAGTCTATTATAAATCGGTATATCGACTAATTTCTATGTTTGTTACGTTAGCAAACGAGACCTTGCGGACGAGTTGATTTTTATGAAAGACCGAAATGCCGTTCCGCTTATAGACGCCATAATCTCGAGCATATATGTCGCATAAACGGAAAAAATATTGCTTCAATTTCCGAAGCGAATGACCATTCGATTTGAATATCTGGCTCAAGGTCAAATATAGCGGGCGGATCTTCAGGGTTTCCCATAAAAATAGCGGTGCCGCGTTGCTCGTTGCTTATATGACCTGCATATATGACAGCGCCCTCGAATGACACTCCACGTAAAAATAACCAAGTTGCCGCAAATCTCGCCTTAAATCATGATTTCCATCTCGGTTCGCATCCCAACAAAAATATTTACCGACTATCATACTTGATCCATCCTTTCCTAATTTGCAAGCTCGAGAGTTTCATAGTCGCAATTTAATCCCGGCATTTATTATTATTATTTTTTTTCGAATTCACTATTAAACGCTTATTAGAAATATATAATATTAATACAAAAAAATGCGCTTAGATAAATTTTTATAAAATTTTCATAAAATTTCTTCCTCGTGAGAGGAAAAATATTCGCAAGACGACAATGGAACTTATCGACAAAACTGGAATTGACACATCACATATGGATATATCGAAGGAATATTCTTAAGCATTTATTATCTTTTTTTTCCTTAAAACAATTTTCTTGCGTTGCGAGAACTAAGAATATCACTGCACTCTATGTGTGTAAAAAGTGACTAATGTATGTATGTAATTGATTTTCCGTATAAAAATAATGTACTATACTGCTAACAGAAATGGATTGACACATTTAACCGTGTAATATAGTATCATTTTTACATGAAAAACTAATTATACACATATATTGTAGTCACTTTTACATTTGGATCTACAGTGAGTACCGCGAGAAAATACGTTGTTACGTGTTTCTTTAACGGGCGATTATCGTGATCGCGTTATAGAGATCTCTCGAAATGCAATCCGGAAATTACCTCCGGCTACACGATGCAGGAGAAGACGTCAGCACTGCTAGGGAGATCGATTCACCAGGCGAATGCAATCAGTACGCTCCGGACCTTTCTGTCGCGCGTGTCGATACCTCGAGAACGATATTTCGGGCAACTCGAAAAAATCACATATATCGAAGTTGCTTCCTCATTCAATCGAAAAATTATCTTCAACTCAAAGAAACTTGTCACACGATATAAGATTGTGAACAGCGATTCTTAGAATGATCTCTCGATTTCTCATCAATCATTAATACAAAAAATTTTGAGGACAAGTTTAGCATAAATTCTTCGAAAGATTCGGGGATATAAAATGTAAAAGATTAATTCGCGCCAAGTCGGGACTGATAGAGATTAATCGATGGGAAACTAGTAGAATAATTAATTACGAACGTGACACATGTGCATACTTAACAATAAGATATAGATACAGACAGCATTGATGTAACGCAGACATTAAACACGCGTAGCAAGGACAGTTTGATTTGTTGCCTTAATGGCATAAATCGCTAAATCTATGCGCACTACGCATGCAGTTCTAATTAGTCGCCTCTGTAATCTGCACGAATTGCTTATGTCATCAAGATCGACCTCGGTCTTTTCGAGCAAGCATGGAAAAATAAAGGGGACAATTTTTTTTCGTATAAATTTCGGTTTTAATAAAAAATGTTTTCGCTAACTCTTCTCTTGTGAAAGAATTTGCATATTAGTTATAATTATTTTTTTCTTAAATTTTATCATGCAAATTTTACAAAAAAAGGAACGTAAATAATGAATATTACATTTTGAATATATTGTTATAAAGATTGATGTTATTTGGCGATTTGGTGACACTATTATTTTTACAAATATGAATTTCTTTAATTATGCAAAAACGGCTTTTCATTAGTTCCTGTAATCGCTGTAGGTATATTATTTGCAATTATTTTTAAAAAGATTACATAAGATAAGAGATGCTAAAGTCAAGACTATTAAAAATTTGACAGACTCGCGTTATGCATGAATTTGTGTTACGCCGCAGGCTATTGTGCTGACATTTAAATAATTATCTCCCGTTATCGTGCAAAAACATATTATCGAACTTTGTGAACGTTAAGTGGAACGTGCCCTATAATGGCTAAAAGTTAAATAGTCGACTTTGTAAATTCTAATTCAATGCCGTATCAATGCGTTAAGTATGCTCGGTGTATTTAGCTTGCGTATTCTTTAACTTCTCTTTACTATAATCACTATTCTAGCCAGCCGAAAGTGAAAGTGGGTCTGTGGTCGATAACGCATGTGAATAACGAAGACGATGACTTGTTCTCGAGAGTTATAAAGACATGCCCGTCCCCAAGTGTCCAAAATCGATTCCGCATCATTGAACCTATCATCAAAGAGTTACATAACATCATCGAGAGCACTCTTAGCGCTCTTAGCGATTGTAAAGATCGCCCGCTAACCGAGAATTTAAGGTCCAGTTACTTATAAAATATGTAACAGTTCAAAATTAATTTGCTACGAAATATCATAAAAAAAGAAACGTAGTCGCGAAATATCATGTATTGTGAACGTATTCAACAATAATACAAATGTTAAATGGAACTAAGTTGCTGATAATCGAATGATCATTTTGTTAATAGGAACCAATCGATACACACGTTGCCGTCGGACTTACAATTATCCTCGCTAGCCGTGGAAGACTCTAGGCAAACATTTGGTTATCAAAATCCTGAAACGAATACTATCGATGCTTCGTTCGCGCGAGGAGATGGTCTAATGCAGGAAGACCACGACGAGAAATCTGTGCTAATTACTGCAGAAGCACGCGACGTTTTCAAGGAACATTCGACCCATTCCGAGGAGAATCGATCGAGTGAAATGTCAAAGGGATCAAGTATTCTCAAAGTGGATTCGAAGGCATTGGCCACGTCGGAGGAGATAAAGTGGGATTGTACAAGTGAACAAGTACTTGAAGTGAATAACGCAAGCAATCCAGCGAATCCCCGCAGAAAACTTTCTGTCTACTGCCGCCCGTTCGACGTCGTTGCGGTGCAGGATCCGCTCGAGGATCATCAGGGATCTAATTTGGAAGTGAAGCAATCATCGAGCACTCCACACAATTCTTCCTCGCAAATCAATAAGATCACCGATTGGGAGCGAAATATTGTGATGAACTATGCGTTTAATCATGGTTACCGCAACAGAGAGAGCGACAGCGATTCCACAAACTCCACGCCGGAAAAGCAATTACAACATAGCCTAGACGATGAAACACCGGTTGAGCAGACGATACTTAGAAAGATCTGTTTGGCGCCTACACGCTTGAAATTTCCACTGGAAGCAAAAAACGAGTTACAAAGAATTGTCGAGGCTTCCAACTGTGCTTCTCCCATTTCAATGAATTCCACTGAATTGGATTTTTTTCCTATCATCGGGAACAAGAAAGATAACGATGTTTCCATTCATTCATCTTCGACATTTATAGACAAGTGCAAGATGAAGAATGTGGCATTCGAATCTACACCATATTTAAACAAGACTGTTTCGCAAGCACACTTAGTATCTAATCGCTGTCTATCTTCGCGTGATCAAACTGGTAAGTATCCATCTTAATTAATCTTATTAGATTCGATCAAGGATATGAAGACTGTGTAATATATATTATACTTATTAATGCATATCACACAATTTAATGATACGACAAAAAAAATTTACTGCGCATATCAAAGTATGATAATATAATCCTCTCAATCACCTTCGACTTCTTACATCCGTCTCAGAAGGAGACATCGTGGAAATTTCAAGCTGTCTTATTAGATCATCGATTTCGTTTTCTCCCACAGATTTAGCGAAGATCATGGATTCAAAGGATCCCCACTCCTTGACGTGCGTGCAAAGAGTCGATGGCGAGAGTCAGTCGCGAATCGAACGGTCAGTCGATAGCCAAATGTCGAATCGCGAGGACAGTTTAGCCGTTTCAGGCAACGGCGAGTGCAAATCGACGACGGGGTCCAGTGATCGATGCAGCATCGCTGAAGAAGTCGTGAATGAGATCGACGAAATCGTCAATGTCGCGCCGTCCGCATCGTTGACTGATTCGAATTCAATAAAAGTAGTGCCATGCAAGAACTCAGTGCAAAGCGATGAAAAAGCGCGCGAAAGAAACTTGTTGGAGATGAAACCAGAAATACCACAGGTTGGTAGACTGAGAAGATTTAGATATAAATTTAGAAGTAGCTTTCCTTTTCTGGAATATCCAGTACGGACAAAGGAAAGATTAAGGACCTATTTGATCCGTGACGCTATTGGATTTGATTAAATTGGGTGGAATAGCCTGCTCGACGCGTGTAACTTGAGCACTGACACTCAATCACGAAAACAATTAAGTTACGCTTCAGCAGAAAACGCGGCCTCAACAGGCGGGCATTTTGATCACGGTCAGATGAGCCATGCAATTGAGATCGGCAATTATTACTGCTTTACGGGAATGATCAGCGATAAATCTGCGGTCAATTGGCACTAATTACTCGTAAGGAATGTCGCAATTATTTGACACGCGGTCACCGTGACTATCGCTAGACCGTTATCGCTAGCTTATGTTACAATCCAGCAATTAATATACACGAGTCTCAATATTTGCAATGGAGAGTTTAAGTGACCTTGACGCTTTGTTATTTATTATTCTGAGAGAGACATCTTAATCGTTTCCACTTGCATAAAATAAAAAGATTTCCGTAGAAACGGATGTAGCGAGATTTTCTTGAAAAACTGGTTATACGATTCTTTTTTAATTCTTGATGTAATATTTGTTTATTTTATTAAACATTTTATGTGATTACATATTGTACCGATTAAATACATGAACAGATTTATAATAATTTCTAAAGACGTGAGCCATCTGATGTCCGTGAAATGTGTTATATATAAAAGCAATTATATTTTTTTATAGTATATTTTCATTCTTTTTAGTTCGAAAAGCTAGAGGTAATTTATCGCTTCGCGATAATTTTTTTGTTTGAAAATTATATCTTTCTTTTTTCCTTTATACCTACATTTACATGTGAATAGTAAATAAACATGTAACGTATCTCGTTTAACGCGTTGTCTAAAATAGCCACAAGACAGTCGCGTATATTTCAAAGTCACGCGATTTTTTTCAGTTTGTTCTGAGCACGGAACGCTACTTAATTTGTTATCTATTAGACACAGCGTCTTTCCTATCGTAATTTATTAACTCTCGACTAATAAATATCTCGCCATCACAAATATATAATCAAGTCGATTATATTTACTGTGAAAATATTTCGTGACAATGTTCCAATTATGATTTAATCGCGTTTATTTCTTTATTTATCTTTTATATTAATTGCCCTCACAAATAATATATACTTTGCGGATTTGAAAGTCTCTTGTTCTTTTTTGCATTTTATTTACCGATGGCAAGTCGCGGACGTCTCTGTTATTTACTCATTTAATTATATCGATTTTTACTGGCACAGTTGCACCGATCATTACAGATCTGCGGCGAAAAATCCAGCGTAACAACAAGGTCGATCGCGAGTTTTTACCTTATAAGTTGCTTTGTGGCGATTTTTCTATTCATCAGTCGACTAGAGTTTCATTACTTGTTCGCATTATCTATGTTTTAATTGGCTATACTTATAGACTCTTTGTATTTTTATATTTTTTACTGTAATTTTAAAGGAAGAAAATTACATGAACATACACATTAAATGTTTTTCCGCGATAAGAATCTATTAGCTCATTTAGCTATCTTACGCAAATTTTATGTAACGTTAAATATTTATTCCTTTATATGCACTAAGAAATTCAATAAAGAATTGCTGATTCCCCCTCACCCTTCTCTCCCGAATTGACTTTGCAATAATTCTATTATATTATAATTATATATAGTATGAATGCTCTTATATAGTAGAGAACTGGTATGCATTATTTATAGGTAATTTATGAATTAATGATGACATTGCATCTTTCTTTTACAGATCGTCTGACACAAAATTCCACCGGAATACTGCGAAGTTATAAATATTACATTGAAGTGCGATAGCATCACATCACGTGCCCCTTCTACATCCGGCGGTCTATCTCGTTTGATATGAGAAATAATATTTGCCTTAAGTTTGCCACGTAAACTTTCGATAGATATTAGTGGAAAAGCGAGAAGAGAAAAGGCCGCCGAAATTCTCACTATATCCTCTCCACTCGTCGTGTTCATAGGCAGTAATTAATCATCAGAGTAAAAGAAGTTCATAATAATCTCCTTTAACAGAGTTCCATCGAGTCACTTGTCTCTTCTTTTCGGGCTTGCTATTATTTATTCTATCTTTCAATTACAAACTTTAATTACGCTGGAAAGCACGCGATTCTCTTGCATTTTTATTCTTTTCCCGATAATATTTATCCAAACGTGATGCTATAACGCTTGCATATGGAATGAAGGTCAAATTACTACTGAAAGTACATCTGTGCCAAGTTAACTGTTTTTATCGCTCAGAACTTCCCTATTCTTGCATATGTATGCACTGATAATTAGCAGGGATCAACAAAATTTTATGCAGAATGCAATTCTCTTCCGTTCTTGAAAGTCAGATACCGAGAGATAATTTATAGCGGACGTCCGCTAATTTTACGAGAGGCTCAGCGAATTATCGCATTTATCGAATTCCTATTGTTCTTCTTTTATTGTTTATTTCGAAATATTACTTTGTTATTACAGTTGACTTTAAATATGAAAAGATCATATTCGGAGGGCGAGAATCTCGGCCGATTGGAGTGCTGTTGCAAAAAAAATGCATCTTCGATTCCGGAAAGTAATCAACGAGTGAAAGTCTTCCCAAGTCTCGTGGATATTCGTCTGCAGGAATCTGGGCCAGTCTGCATAAATTTAGCCAATTTATCAGACATTGAATTAGCGATCAGGTGAGTAGTGAACTTGGTATAATTTAATTAATCAATACAAATATATTTTTGATCGTACAATTTAATTAATTGTTGAACAATTTTTATTTTCAGGGAGAATTCAAATGAGTTTGAACTGCAGGTAAATAAGCACATTCTAAGTATAAGAATTGTATAAGATATTTTGATGGATAGTTATATGACACTACTTCTATTATTGTAGAAGAAGTACATAGCGTTCTCGTTATGCCTCTGCACAGAAAGGTTGACTTTACCGCGAAGGATAGCGATGTCACTTCGACAACGCGATCAATCTGAGAAAAACCTTTCCTACGAAGTGCGGAAGATGCAGCAGGACATTCAGGCAAGCGAATACGAAAATATCTTGTTGCTTATTAAGCAATCGTGTAGAAATTTCGGCTAAATCGTTGAAATGTGTCTAATTTGATCGCGAAGCGTTTGCCAGTTAGCAAGTAGTCTTTCTCCATGGTTCGTTGAAGGGATTGAATTTTGCGTAACGTCAGGAACTCGCGCCACTATGCACGGATAGAGAATCCGTGGAGCGGGTGGAACGGGTCAGGCATCAATTGGACATGATCGTGCGATGTGCGCACAGGGTGTCTTGTGCAGCCGAGACTCTAGGCGCCGTGCAGCAGGAGCGTAGGGTATCTCGGGCTGTTTTGCTGGCCGACAAATACCTCCAAGTGCTGCATTCCCGGTGCGAGAAACTGATCACCAATGTCGCCGAGACCAAGTGAGGATCAGACTTATCACTTTTCTCTATTCGCCTTGCTCCGTCGTTCAATTTGTATTTTGAGTTTTGACGTTGCTTTGAAAATGTGATATTTACGTCTTCGATCTTCCTATCATGATTAAAATTTTAAAGGTTTACTTTCTTATAGAGATTATCGATAATCGGACAAATTTGGAATAAATATTCTTAGTGAAAGATTTGTTAATATTTGATGTAAAGTTCTCTCTCTTTGTTTTCGAAATGATGAGATAGTATCGGTGATAGTGCACGCTGTTCGTTTCCAGACAGATCTTGGTAGACAACAACATAATGATAGAGGAGAACGCCAGCGAGCTCAACGATGAATTGCCTCGCATCAGATACAGGAGCGGTACACCCGCCAATAATCGTATGATGGTTCGAAAATATTGAAAAATTCATGTTCATCGCTTTCTTTCGCCAGCTTTTCATCACATGTTAGATATCCATCGTATCTCGTTTCGCACTTTCCATCGTGCACTCGCACGTTTGCACAATTTTGCAGGAATTTTTTTACGCACTTACAGCTTGCACTCTTATTTTTTTTTCTTAATTCCGTTCTACCGATTAATAATCGGTATATTTTTTTTCGTCTATTTTTCTTTCTAGATGGCTAGGAGAAGAGCCAGCGTAGCCACAATGTCTCGGCCGATGGGCAACGCACAGGATATGACAAAGGCAATTTGTCTTTTTTACTGTTTTAGCTTCAAAATTTTCGCTTTTACAGCCTGGTATTTCAACAGGATTATCTTCTTATGTTTCTGCACTACTAACACTGACATGCATGATTGCCTATTTACTATTTTTTTTAATTCTTTTTATACATTTGTCTACATTGGTCACTTTTTGCTCCATACAGGACACTATGAGGCAGCGAAATTCTGTTTCCGGACGCGTGATTCTCAGGAGACCATCGTTTAGCTCCGAATCCCCAAAATGGGAAATCGAAAAATTACATCGTGCCGAGTTAGTAGTAATATTATTATATTGACTTAAATTTCTTAAGTTAATGCTTAAAACATGTATTAAATATTTAAGAAATACAATGTTATATTACATTGAATTTTTTAAAAATATTTTTAAACAGAAGTTCCAATAGCATCAGTGAATTACGAGGTATTTTCGAGCAGGCTGAATCTCGTCGTAGCTCGAGAGAGGAAAATAACAACATGCTACGATTGAATCATTCTAATGGCCAAAGTACAGTAAATTGTGCGATAATTGATAATGAGGTTTGGACGGACGTAAAGGAGGAAATCTCTTCCGAAGTTTCTGACAACGAAAGTATGAATTCTGAGAGTAGATCGAGGTAATTGATTTTTTTATTCAATTTCTTTTTATCACTTTATCTAAAATTGTTGCCTCTTTTAATGTAAATGTAATGCCTCTTTAATTTCTTTTTTTAGTGCAAAATCGTCACAATCTTTCCTATTAAGACGAGAAAGAAGAGTATTATCAATATGGCATATAGTGCTGTTGAGTATTATAATTTTCTTCTTCGTATTTTATATAATTCATGCAATGTCATTAAACGTTTGCCAAGAACCGTTAAACAAACGGTTGATCGGATACGTTTTCGACAAATGCGGTCAGATAAGGAACGCGGCGCCTCATCCAATGTGACTTTCTTGCGTTCTGATTAGCTGTATCAGTAAAATAAGTAGTAAGACTAAGTGTAGATTGTAACATATGTCAATTATGGAAAGGCTGAATAAATTAATAATTGCAGAATTCGTTTCGCCTTCTAGTGAAGTCACGCTTTAGCCGCGAGTGCTGTGATTTAAGATTTTCGATTCCTCATTGCAACTGTGTTTGTATCATGGCTTCAGAAACGACAAATCGATAAATACTTCTACACTTTATGCGAAATAAATCGATTTTTTTCGGCTATTACTTGTGTTTGACAAAAGATAAAATCCGCAATATTGTAAATGTATTAATAAATAACTGTAAATATCTACTCAAAATTTTTATTTGCGCTGAAACCGGTGGACACATCGATATTGAATAATACATTCATTTATTAATGCAAGAAAATTAAAATGATAAAAATGTTTAACATTTAATCAATTTATGTTATCAAACCCGCACACGAAAGAATTAATTTATTTCGACATAAAAAAATAGGAAGGATTCATGATCCTTGCTTCTGACATTCGTAATTCGACGTAATTGCAATGAGAGATCAGAAACTTAAAAAAAAAATAACCGTTTATCTACATGCCATCAAATTATATTAAAAAGTAATATGATACTGTCTGTATTTTTTTGTATTTCTTTATTGGAACATTTTAATGAGATATTTGAGAACTATTTATTTGAGATTTGTTTTAAACGTTGAAAAATATTCAAGGATATTGCGTTTATTTTGTTAACAGATTATTTTGAAAAAATAAGATAAAGTTTGTATATTAAATGTTTTGAAATATTGAGAAAAGTATTGTTAATAAAGAAGAATTAAAGTATTGTTAATAAAGAAGAATTAAACAAATAATTTGATTACACATTTTGATGCGTTTTAATTTTTTATTGGCACATAAATTATCTTCCTCTCTCTATCATTGACAAGACTGATGTAAAAATTAACTTTCAGATTACGGAAAACAGTAGGAGACAAGAACATTGTTAATAAAATACAAAATAAATCGATTTATTTTTTTTTACCCGTATTCTTTACAATAGAAGAAATATTAAAAATAATTTTATGCAGAAGGTTACGTAATTGTTAAATTTTGAATAACTTGCATTACAATATTAATTTTATTTTTATCATTATTCTGATATTTCGTAGATGTATATACGTATTATATATATTATTTTATAACTTGATAATCAATTTTTATTTATATAATTTTATTTTTTTGTTATGTCAGATTTGATTATTGATGCAATAATTGTAGAAAAAAACATATATGTACATTATTGCTTTTTACTTTTATCGCTGCAGATTATTACTTTGCTTTTATTGTTTTTATAATTCATATTATATATTTTAGTTATCATTAATCGATAATACATGTGTGAGATGAAATTACCAGCATTTGGAGATTTATCGACTATCTATTTTTTTACGAATAGGTATAATAAATTTGCATTTTTTTTACTTTGTTGGTTACTGCAATTTTCAATTAATCATGATGTTGATAATTAACTGTATTATCTTATGTGAACATTTTTATCCATCGAAGCTTATCATGTTTGTTTTTTATCCGATATTGTAGAGATGAAGTATTTATTTTCTAATCTAACTCAGATGACTATAATAGTTAGATCAGCTGTTTTCCGTAACATGGCTGCATCCTTGAAAGACCAACTCAGTTGTGGCATAACAAGATAATCAAGTGATCGAGTTATCTACGATAAAGTTACGAAAACTGTCGCGAAAGCATCGACAGTGAGTCTTGAAAAGTTGCCAAGTAATATTTTATTCACAGACGTTATGAAAATTTTACAGTGTTACTCTGGAAAGAAATTCTTTTTTTCGTTTGTTGTATTCTATATATGAATTCTATAATAAAATAACAAAAGAAAATCATTTGTTAATATATATTTTATAAAATTTTTTTATTAATATATTTATATATCTCATCTATCTTTAATTAAAATTACATAATATTAACAATATATTATGATATATTTAATTTCTAATAAACTATTTAATAAAAGAAATTTAATAATTGTAAAGTAGTGTAACTGTTGTAAAGTGTAAAATTGTAAAAGTTTTTAAAATATCTTGAATGTAATTTTGAAATTAAATAACAATGTATATAATATTTATTTTTGTTTCAGTAATATAAGCATTTATAGAAGATATAGCACAATGACTCGAATCTTTTTTGGTCCATTGATTCAAACAAATGATAAAGAAGAATTAATTATTAAGGAGAACGTTGCTGTATTTGTTCATGATGGCGAAGTATTTAATGATTTAATGATTTAATTTAATACACATTTGTATACAGTATAGTTTATTTAAAATAAAAAATATAATAATTTTACCTATACAATATTTAGATTTTTCAGATTCTGGAGAATTTAAAGATTTGCGAGAGAGAGTATCAGTTTAAACGGAATTGTGGAGAGGATTTTGGAGTTAAAGTTTTATCACATGGTCAGTTTATGGTGCCTGGATTTATCGATGCCCATACTCATGCGGTACAGTTTCCAAATCTTGGACTGGGTTACAACAAAGGTCTTTTGGATTGGCTAGAAGCTTATACCTTTCCACTGGAGAAAAAGTATAGTGATACTGAATTTGCAGAGCGAGTGTTTGAAGCAGTTGTGGTATGTAAAACAATTCTAATTAAGATCACATCATAAAATGTATAATTATTTTAGATATTCTTGTATCTTTTCGTTATGTCTAATATACATGTCATTGCAGAAACGGACTATCAAAATGGGCACAACGACGGCATGTTATTTTGCATCTTTATATGCCGATGCATGTGTAATTCTTGCAAAAAAAACTGCTGAATTAGGTCAACGAGCTTTCATCGGAAAAGTGAACATGAATATTCCGCGTGACGATGGATATTGCGAAAGCACCTTGACGTCAGTTGCAGACACCGTAGATTTTATAAAATCTATTGAGATAATAGGGGTAAACTTGTATTTTATTGCCAACTTTTTATAGATAGACAATCCTAACACCTTCTGTGGCAATTGTGACAATCCTTGTCACAATTAATCACAAAAAAATATTGCATTTCTCCAAACTTGTTGCAGAATCCACTTGTAAAGCCGATCATCACACCAAGATTCGCACTGAGCTGCGACATGGAATTAATGCAACAGCTGGCAGAGATTGCTAAGACGAAAGACATACATATACAGGTATTTTAATTTATTGAACTTGTTTAATATTATGTTAGCAATGTACAGCTATTATTATAAATACAAAGTGTTCCTTATTGTCTGTAGAGTCATGTCTCTGAAAATAAGGACGAGATAATGACAGTGAAACGAACTTTTCCACACCTACCTTCGTACACGGCTGTTTATGATGCTGCTGGCCTTCTTACCAATAAGGTATAATACTTCATTTTCTTAATTTATTAAAAAGCAAATTGAAACAATCATATATAATGTCATCTGGTTCTTTTTCACAGACAGTATTAGCGCATGGAGTCTATCTTGAAGATAGCGAACTTGCTATTCTTAAAGAACGAGGAACAGCTGTAATTCATTGTCCCTCTTCAAATATAAATCTGAAAAGCGGGCTTTGCGATGTACAAAGATTAAAGGCTAACGGTATCAAAGTCGGACTTGGAACAGGTATCGCAAAAGTCTCTTTGTAGAAGTTTTACAATTTAGATATTTAATTTAAAATCTAAATTTTGAATTTCAATTAATATATATGATATAATATATTCATTATATTAAAAATGAATATGTTTTTTTAGATGCTTCAGGTGCAGCTAGTTGCAGTATGCTGAATGAGATGAGATCGGTTTTACAAGTATCAAATTGTTTATCTTTAACGAGAGATAATTATACACCGCTTAATTACAAAGATGTCTTCCATATGGCAACATTGGGAGGTGCTAAAGGTAAAGTTGCATATTAGGAATATTTATATCCATATACAAAACTCTTTACAATTATATTAACATATTGATTGTGTTTAGCACTCGCAATTGATGACAAAATCGGTAATTTGATGGAAGGCAAAGAATTCGATGCTCTTATCGTTGACATGAATGCAGAAGGCAGTTTGTTGGATAATTTTAAAGAATATACACTCGAAGAGAATTTCCAGAGATTTATATATGCCGGCGATGAACGTAATATAGTATCAGTATATGTAAAGGGTAAACAAGTGAAATAAGAACTTTTTTATTTTTACAATATTTTATAAGATAAATTAAAAGACCTATATTTTACATTATTTCTGTACTGTGTTTATACAGTGTAATAAATTGTTACACATAATGAATAAAAATCTGTTTTTTTTTACTTCTCTTCCAGAAACATTTTTTATTCTGAAATTATATTTCATTTGCATATTTTGGAATAATAGAATATTTCTTTAAATTTTTTTTATTGAACATTAAATATATTTTATTTACTTTTTTTAATTTTCTGTTTTAAATATTATTTTACAATTATCACTTAGTTAATGGTATGATAAATTTTTATTTTGTATAATAAATCTAAATGTCGAATCCGTTACTGGATAAGAACGCGCCATTTTTTAAATATCGGATATTACGTCTGTAGGAGGCGCCATCTCGAAGGCATATTAATTTCTTATTTCCACCTCGTGTTTCCGGTTCTTCTGTGATTTTCGAGGAAAGGGAAAGAAGTAACGTGAGTATATTTCAGAAAGTCTTCATTTTTTTTTATCATTTTTGCATATTTTTCGTTTATCTGTACAAAACATTAAAACTATGGATATTCTAATATGAATACTTTTATCGCATTTCTTAATATTTCATCAAATACGGTACGTCGGCTTCGCCTGCCTAGGGTTACCCAGGTTTGCCATTGCAAATTTCAATATTAAAAATATGTGCATAGTAATTATTAACTTTTAATAAGATTGAAATTTAGGATATATTATATGTGACATTTCTGATCAAATTTATCATGAATTTTTTTATTACAGAATGGCGGACGCTGCTCCAGCCGCACGCGGTGGCTTTCGTGGAGGTTTCGGTTCTCGCGGAGCGGGAGGTGATCGCGGAGGCCTGAGAGGTCGAGGTGGTAGAGGTAGAGGCAGAGGACGCGGTCGTGGACGTGGCAAGGAGGATAGCAAAGAATGGGTCCCTGTTACCAAGCTGGGTCGTCTAGTCAGAGATGGCAAGATTCAGTCTCTCGAGCACATCTACTTGTTCTCTTTACCCATCAAGGAATATGAAATCATCGATAAATTTCTTGGACCAGATCTAAAGGACGAGGTTCTAAAAATCATGCCTGTACAGAAGCAAACACGTGCTGGTCAACGTACACGGTTCAAGGTAAACTTTCTTTTATTTTTTTCAAGTTCCAGTTCTATCAATGTAAAATAAATTTTAATCTTGACTTAATTTGCTATTTATATCTAATTCTTATATTCTAATTCTTTCTAAGAATTAGAAAAAGATAGAGTAAATTGAACCTAGAAAAACTAATTAAAAAGTAGCTAGAATATAAAATTTTAGAGAGACAAGAGTATTTAAAATGTAACATTTTATAGGCTTTCGTTGCCATCGGAGACAGCAATGGACATATTGGACTGGGAGTAAAATGCTCCAAGGAAGTAGCCACTGCGATTCGCGGTGCTATTATTTTGGCTAAGTTGTCCGTTGTACCAGTTCGACGTGGTTACTGGGGTAACAAGATCGGCAAGCCGCATACGGTGCCATGTAAGGTAACCGGCAAGTGCGGTTCCGTACAGGTGCGTCTAATACCTGCACCCAGAGGTACTGGCATCGTATCCGCCCCAGTTCCCAAAAAGCTTCTTCAGATGGCTGGTATCGAGGACTGCTATACCTCAGCTAGAGGATCAACCTGCACACTTGGTAACTTTGCCAAGGCCACTTACGCTGCGATCGCCAAGACTTACGCGTATCTGACGCCCGACTTATGGAAAGAGCAAGCTCTGGCTAAGGCACCGTATCAAGAATTTGCTGATTACCTATCCAAAACTCACAAAGGAGGCGCGAGAGCGGCCGAAGTTGTCTAAATAAACATCTAGCCTCTGTGAAAGCGCTTTGAAAAATTATAAAACAATTCTTTTTTTTTTTTCCTCCCAATCTCTTGCCTCCTAGGAACCTAACACTTCCTATTTTCATTTCGTTGAGCAAAATAGATAGAAACTAATAGACAATAGGTACTGGAACTACAATCAGTGTTGTACGTATCATCACAGAATATATTGATACATGTACATTATATTAACACTAAAACGATTAATGGTCATTATAGCTCTGTTAATCATTTTAATTATTTTTTTATAACATACAATACAGAATATTAAGAATATGAAAATATAACTCAAATAGTATCAAAATAACTTTTCTAACTGAAAACAAAAATAGGAAATTATCAAATTGCTATCTTTGATAATTTTAACAAAATTCTATCAATTGTTTTAATGTAAACTATTTAGTATATATATATTATATATATAGGTACATATAATTAATAAAAACCATCCAAGTTTTTTAATTATTCAATTTGTTTTATTAAGAAGCTTAGACGCTATGCCTTCAAACAAACTTTTAATTCTTGGTTAGTAAAAGTTGTAAAAACTTATTTATAATATATTAAGAATCTAAAAAAAATGACAGTGTTATGTAGTATCCACAGAGTCTTCTTTCGTAGCTTTATGTTTTTCGTAGGCTTTATTAAATGTCTCGATTGTGTGATCACACATTTTCTCAAGATCTTGGAGGCCCCGTTTCAATACTTGGATTACATTTTCACCGGTTGTTTGGATGTTCAAGTGCACCCTCTTTTCTGCAGGATGCGGCACAGTGTGACCGCATATTTTCACGCCTGGACTGCAAGAAAAATTGGAAGAATAAAAATATAATATTACACGATGAAACTATATTCATAAATTTTAAATGATACGTACTATTCATTTATCACAGAAGCGAGCGCATTTCCCAAGGTATGCCCCTCGTCTTCGAAGACAAAAGTCCCGTATGTTTCCCCGTGATTCCCCGGTAACTGCATTCACAATAAAAAATTGAATAATTTTTTGTTTAGCTTTCCCACTAATTAATATTATCAATTATCATATTACCCTCGAGAGACGTTTCGCCATCGCGATTGTGCCGTTTGAATCACGCTTTCAATATCCTAACCTAAGCAAACTAGCAAATTGATAACTCGCACGAGCTCAACAACACTAATTCGGATAGGTTATATTCTCGTAAACATAATTGTGATTTCTTCGAAAGTACTGCTCTTGCACGTACGTATTATGTACTGTCTCTCACGAGTGCACGTAACAGCTGATAATTTTCACACCCCAGTTTCTTCTGTCATTTCATGTATCTTTATTTTAATCATCTTGATCTAACTCGATCTAAACTTAACCTAAATTTGTAGCGATCCTGTGATTCCTGAGTACGTTTCGTCATTCCGATGAGTCTAAGACGATGGATCTGCGATGTTATTGTTCAACGGAATGTGCGATTCCAAGGCGCCGTCGTCGGTCGTTTCCTCGCCACAGAGGCGAAGGACAAAGCTGTCGACATAACTGCTGCTGACGAGCAGCCAATATATTCGAACGACCCCCTGTACCAGAAGGAGCTTACCGAGAAGCGAAATAAGTCCCGGCTGAATCCGGAGCACAGGAATATACTTATGGGCAAGCCTCCTTACGAGCAGCCTATTGAGTGGTATCACAATACAGTAAAATACAAGAAGCGTATGTTAGGTAGATATGGATTCGAAGGCAACAAGGAGCCAGTCGGGTTTGCATGGCCCACGCCAGAAGAGGTCAAGATCTTGCAGGAGTACGAGAGAGTCGCCTTTCCAGTATCCCTTCAAGAGAGATGGAAGAAGCTGAAGGAGAAAAAACGGATAAAGGCTGAGAAGGTTAAAGCAAGGCATGTCTATCAGTTTAACCTGGCTGCGTTCATAAATGTAAAAAGAAGCTTTGCAATTGTTGTAAAATTTTTTAATATAGTTAATCTTGCCCTTTGTTCCTTATTGGATCTAAATGTATAAACCAATTATATTAAAGAATTTTACAGTTGTAAAGATGCTGTCTCTGCTGAATGCAGTTACTATCTGCAAGTTTACAATTTTGGAACAGCATATTAATGTGTGATGTGTTTGTAGGGAAGCTGAAATAGCCGAAAAATTATTGAAGATAGACCAATGGACGGCCGAGCTGAACGCAAGGGTCGCTAAGAAGGAAGCCGAAATGGAGGCTGCTAGATTGCGCAAGGCGCGCTTAATGGAGGAGATCAGAAAACACTTTGGCTTCAAGATCTCGCCTCACGATGAGAGATTTAAGACGATGCTGGAGCAAAAAGAGAAGGAGGAAAGAAAACAGAAAAAGGAAGCTAAGAAGAAGGCGAAGGAGGAAAAATTAAAGAGCATGATCCAAAAAATGAATCAAGGACAAGAAACCGATTCAACGAAATCTGTAGAATAGTTACGTTTTCTTTCGTAAAGTATAAAACGTTCTAAATATAGCTAATAAATTTATAATTCATTAGAGTTCTCTTTTAGATGCTTATTTCAAGGCTGAATGTACAGCCAATACAATTAAACCACGTAACATTTTTCTTTACATTTTATTTAAGCAATCAGCGTTTTCATATCTCAACGCTAGACATCGCGAAGTGAACTCGGCTTTGATCAAAAGATATCCAAATGCCTTTCTCTACATTATTAGAAGTTTATCTTTATAGTAGAAACTTTCCAACGGGCACTTCGCGCTTATTCTGGCGAGAGTATAAAATCTCAAGGACAATATACACATACGTAATGATATAAATATCATACTTTTTTTTACTAATACAAAAACATTACACACTGTTTCGCAAAAGACTAGAAGAAATTTTAATGCATAGTTGATAAATAATGCTCCTCTTTAAGACACTTAACCAGGCACACGTTGGACGATATGTAATTACGTTATTTATTTTCTGATCTCACTCCGGCCACTCTAAAGTTCTTCGGTGATTATCAAATCCTCGAACTACCTTACATTTGAGAAACAAGATTTTCTCGTATTTGTACCGTGCTTGACTCGTTATCCATTCATTAAGCATATCAATTAACTGGTTCAGCTGATTCAATTAAGTTTCTAGTTAATCTAGCAGCCGCGTCGAATAAAACGATCGAACATTTCGCGTCATTGTGAAAAATTTCTCGAATAAGATCAGCTTCTCGTCATCGTACAGTTCTCGTTGGCCCGATCGCTGTTGACAGGCGATTTTCTCTGCGAGTTTTCCCGCTCTGAGACATTCTTCTCGGTTTCGGCAACGTCGCGAATCGGCTGGTTATCATACGATCGCGCGTTCTGTATCTGAAGTTCGTCAATCACAATAAGATGGACTTTGTTGTCCTCTGTGTGTCAGGCGGATTGCAGCTGCGACGGCGACGTCAATTCATAAAATTGAAAGCTGAGCTCCTCGCCGAAGAGATTTTCCGATCCTATAATCTCGGGATCGACCACATTTAAACCCAGGGTAGTCGGATCCGTGACTAGATATCCCTCACTTACGAGTCCGCATTCCTCGGCGACGACCTCTTTAGATACCGGGTTCAGAAAATCTGCAATAAATTTCATAATTCGTCAATGGCGAGTCAATCTCTTCCTGAAAGAAAAATTAATTACAATATCCTCACCACTTTCCTTGAAGGAGCATTGGAGCGAATCCGTTTGTTGCTCCGTCGTCTGGTCGTTCTGTTGACCTGCCTCGGAATCGTTCACCATGGGAACTAAATACTGCACTTCCACTTGGCGTTTTATTCCGTTGAGTATTTGCTCAGCGGAATGCTCGAGCGTCACAGAATTCAGTATATCATCCGCATCCTCTTCGGAATTCGGCTGCGTGATGCTTGCCGTCGCAGCTTCCACCTCGTCCATGATTTGGCTGTAATGTTAAGCATGTTTCAGTAATGTGAAGAAATAATTTTACAAAATTTTACGAGGAATAGACGTTTACCTGATGATCTTGTTACTCCGGGATTCTTCAGACTCATTTTGTGCTACTTGTGTTTGTGTAGTATTTGTCAAACTAGTAACTGGCAATGGACGAGGTCTGCAATCGCCACGATTCGCGATCGCCCAAAGGTGACCCGCTCCATGAGTCGCCTTCGATCCTTTCCTGAAGTGCGGATTTATTGAGAGATTGTGTCGGACGGAGTTCTTCCAGCGATCATCGTTGCTTTTATAGTAAGGAAAATGCTCACTGAAAACGACAAATATCTTTTCGATTTTAATTATACAAATTAAACGATTCATATTTTTATTCAAAATAAAAGTTTTTTTTGAATAATTCAATAAAGTGCTTGCAGGAGTTACTATGATCATTTTACGTAGGCAAATCGACGGGAACATGATTAAGGATAATACACATAAAAACGCATGGCGGTAATTTGCGTCCCTACGAAACTAATTTCCTTCACCTGCTCGTAGCGATGTCACGGTGCGTTACGCACCCTCTCTTCGCGATTAATTTCACGAGTTTCGGTGGAAAATGAGAAACATTTAAGCCAAGGGTGCATTTGAAATGCTAAATGGTGCATTTACTCGCTCCACTGATCACGATGATCGCAATGAAAGTTGTCACTTTCACCAACAGTTTAATGAATCTGTTCTAAGAGCCGGTTGTTCCATCTTCAAATAAACTATATGGTAATTTATCTATTGGATAAACAAAAGAGTGAAAGAACATAAAAGTGTAAGAGAATAAGACAGTGAACTGAAGTTTACCAAAAGATGGAACAACCCAGCCTAAATCATATTTGCATATCGGTGTGATAAAAATAATATTCTTAACACATACCCGCTAACTATGATTTCAAGATGCAATACTATTGTAAAATATTCTTTAATATGATTGATTTTGTCTTCACAACTCTAAATGTATAAATCGTTATAATCGTGTTAATCATATACTAAAAAAAAAAAATGATATGTCAACAGCATTATCTGAATTAAAACTAATTTTGTTAATTAAATAAACACCATTAATGAAGTACTTATGTTCTTATTTTAATAAAATTTAATTTATTCATTAATACTGTTGTTAAATCAATATTTATTAATTATTTTTAATTAAAATAATGCTATTAAAACATTTTTTTTTAGTGTATTAAAAAATTTTATAATAGTTGCAAAGTTGCTTTTTGCCATTGATAATCTTGAATAAGGCAAAAAAAATGTGAAAATAAAATTATGATTTTTAATATTATACATGTTATATTTATAGGCTTTATTTGTGTATATATAATATTTGTGTATATTATTTATAGTCTGCCTCTTTGTAGAGTAACCGGAGATATTTCTTTTGACTCATTTGTTCGAGCGGCGCCATACGCGGCTGAATGATTTATATATATATATATATTTTCCAAGGAGCTCGAACAGCGATCGAACAGGTGAAGGCACAGGAGCAGTAAATTGTGCGCATTCGTGTTGAGGGCTGCAACGAAGGATAGCTGAAGGGTGAGGAGTTAGTGCCAGGTGGTGCCAAGCAATGGGGGCAGTGGTACCAATGGGTACCATCTAGAAGTAGCCCACCCCCGTCGACCCACCCCCAACCAGCGGGCCACGTTCGTGTAAATTCGTAGAAAACCCCTTGCGCGTCTAATACGCAACTAAGAAAGACACTCCGTCCGTTTCGAATAAAACTTGTAAATATTTTTCTCTCGAAGGGTCAACTTATCAGTTTTAATCAATGGAATGTTTTATTTTAATTTGTGATTCCGTTTAAAATTAAGAATTAAAAAATAGGTATATAAAAAATATATACAAGAATAAATTGAAAGAAATATATTTTAATTGGTATGTTTAATTAGATATTTAATTGAAAGGTTATGAAGGAAAGATTGTAGAGAAAGTATACGAAGCTTATAGCATGCCGATCATAGACAATAAATGTGGAGTTGCAATATATAAGTAAATAATAAATCAAAGTTTTGACTAAATAATAATAAATTTCCTGCCAACTTACGAAATCCATTGATAAATCGCGGAAACAGTGAGCTCGCCTCTTTCCTGTAGCGCGTGTTCTATCAATTCCGTATAAGTAAAGGGTGGCTTCTTTGGCCCATTAGATCGCGCAGACGAGAAATTTCGGTTCTCGTTTCCGTTGGCGGGATAAGTCGCCTGGTTTACATCCTGTCGATATGTCGACGAATTTTCGTGACTGCCATATCCTCTCTTGACGTCGTTGGCGTAATTGGAGCCATGCGACCTTCCGTTCGGTTTATTCTTATTGCCTGAAAATGCGCAATTAGCCACCGAACCGTTTTATTAACTGAGATATATTAACGGAATATACGTATTTTTAAATTCGTAATTTAATTAAATAATGAAATTTTTGAAGACTATTCCTGGTGAAAAAGTTTCTCAAAATTTTCGCATGAATAAGGAACTTTTGAAAAAAACTGAGAGTCTTATATATTTTCTTAGAACTTTTTATATGTATATGTGAAATAGTTTCTATAATTTGTGAAAAATACCTTAAACTTTTTCAGATTTTACAAAATTATATCAGAAATTATAAAATGAATCATAGAATACTTCAGAATGTACATATATGAAGATTTCTAAAAAAGACATACAGATTTTCTGTATAAAAAAATCTGAAAAATTGTCTAAAAAATTATAAAGCTATTCAGAAATTCTAAAAAATTTGGAAATTTATATAAACATTCTAAAAAGAATTTTCATTAACACCATTTACTACCGTTTCGAAAATAGTCGCAAGTAGAAAATTTCGCGATTCATTTTATCGATCGATCTAAAGATAATTTTTTTTTAATAACAAGAACTTTATTTAGCTCCAATTTCATTTAATTTAAATAAAGATTTATAATAAAGTTAGAACTAAATAAAGTTTTTAATTCTAAAACCAAAGCATACGATATCTCTTTATCTTCTTTCATCTCTTTTTTTATCTTTCTTTAACTTTAATATTCGTGAAAGCGTTGATACGAATATTTATTTTGTATTGCACTTTTCTCACCATAATAATTATTCTTCGTTGTCGCGGTAGGCCCCATAGTGCATCTATCATCCGCGGCTTCAATGAATGAGTCCAGTTTAAAGTCCAACAACCACGACAAATTTCCATTCTCCTGATCCTCGAATTGCTGTTGCTGTTGCTGTTGCTGATTATTGCTTGTCGTTCCTTTATTTTGCTGCGGGTTCAGATTGGCAAGCGAAATTACGGGGGCGGCGACCGGTTCCCAATAATTCATCGATACTGCCGGCTGATAATGAAGCTCTTCAATATAGGTTTCCGTAGGATGACGCTCAGCACATCCAGATGTGTTTGACGAGGATGAGGTTGATGAAATTGAAGACAACGACGAGGAAGACGAAGTCACGAGAATGTCCACATTCTGCTGTTGTTCTAGCTCCGACATGGTCGTCCAAGTGCAGTTTGTGCCATCCACCAGCAATACTTCCAGACGTGCCACCTGCGATTCCTCGACGACTTCCTGGGCGGACATCGGCGAGAAGAGTGCCGCCGCGTTGGTGATGATGTCGTTTGATGTAGCCACTAGCTCCACCGGCGTCTCCAGTTCCTCGAGATAGTGTTTGCGACTTGTCTGACGGACTTCATCGCAGAAGCTGTCAATGTCCAACTCATCAAAAATCTTTCGTTTAGAGCCGTCGACCTCCAAGTCGTCGAAGATCTTCCGTTTGGCGGAGGCACAGCACTGACTCTCGGTAACCTCGCCAGCATTCCCTGACGATGGCCCGATCATCTTGTCGGCCTTCAAGCTGCTAGCAAGTCAGCGGATAGGCCTATTAAAAATATGCAAAATAATAAATAAACAAAAGGAATTATTTATATAGAACGGGGCTTTTTTATATATTTCTTGCGATAATATTTCTGAATAGAATAAGTTGATTATTTAAAGATTATGCTCTCAAAGAGCAATCATGATTGTATAATGTAATTATAAGCACATCACTGCAAAGAGATATTGTTTGTTATCGTAAATTTCAAATTGTATTATTTTAAAGTTGAAACAGAATAGTCCTGCCTTATCCTATAAACAAAAGGAAGAAGCAGAAATTTTAGCCTTGTAAAATTAAAAATAAAAAACTAAATTTCTAAGATAAAATATTGAAAATTGAGATTAAAAATCTAGCGTTCCAGAATTAAAATATACAAAATATATAAATTCCTATTAATTTAAATAAACGACTCCATTTTTTTAAATCTACTTACTTTTCGCAAAATAAAAAAATCAGCAAAGCTAACTGGTACGTTAAATAATTCTCCATTTGGAAAATAATTATTCTGACGTTTGTGTGCAATATTAGCTACAAGCTAAAAACAAGCGTGATGTATAATTATAAAGTATTCCTCTCGGTCTGATCCTGTTGGTTATACAAAGCTTATTTTGCGACACACGAATTCAATAAACATCGCCGTGTGAAAAACGCGAAAACGTCTCATACCTTGCTCCCGTTTGCTGTGTTTATTCGTTTTTTTTCACGCGAGGTGCCCTGAAATATTCTACGTTCTTCTATCTCAACCGAATTCGTCGCGAGATCATCATTGAAGACTAGGAATGCGCGAAAAAACTTTCAGCTCCGTTTTTTTTTTTCGTTTCAACTTCAGACACGCTCCGTCATACCGCGATTCATGCGCGGCTTTCCGCCCCGCGTTCACCGTGCACGTCCAGCGCGGGATACGCTTCCGAAATGAGCCGTCCGATTATTTTTTTTCTCCCCGTATCGTCGTAATCGAGCGCCCGCGGAGCGCGTCCGTCACAGCCGTGTGCGCGCCGCTCGTTTGTCTCGAACGTCGGCTGTCCCGCGCCACGCGCGCTGCGCATGCGCACTTCCGACGATGGGTACAGTCATGGGCAAAAGCAGCCGATGACCGAACTGCACTCGAGCTACCCCCACGATGACTATTGTCGCGTTGTTCCGTCCAGCGATTAGCCGATCGTTCAAATAGGTGCAGGAATGGTGCAGTGCAGTTACGCTTGTGAGGTTCTATTTGTCAAACTTTGCATTTTTTATTTTTTTTCTTTTTCCTGCAGTATTTTGTTAATAGAATTATCACTATTTTTTAATATTACGTAAGAAGAACGATTAGATTAAGAATACATTGTATAGTTATAATATTTACTTTAAATAATTCTATCAAGTGAATTATTTGATAATTAACGGAATTTTATTGAAGTGGAATATGACTTTAAAATATTCATATATTAACTGAAATTTATGTATTTAAAAATAAATAAATTTCTGTTAATTTTTTATTAGATTTCTTAATTAAGAAACAATTTCTTTTGATTTTATCTTTATTTCTAGTAAAATAAGACAATATAATAAGAGTAAGAATGTATAACTTTACACATTAAAAATTGTTGCGTACTGAAATTACAGACGGCGTTTTTGTTCTTGATTGTATGCGATGTATGTGATATCCGAGAAGTGCAAATTAATAGTATCTGTTTTTCTGGACATCTCATCTACATATTACATGAAAGTTTTAAAACAAACTGATAAATATAATACATGATGAAAGCAACGAGAAATTTTTCGGAGTTACTTTGGGAGCTATTATTATATGAAAGGAAGAAAAAGATACAAAAAGAAGACATTTAAAGTGGGATAAGCATCCATAGAAAAAGGTACTTTCCATTCGTTAAAGTTCATACTATTTCGATATCTAAATTATTCATTTTCAAGAAAAGCTCTAATTTTCTGCGACAAGGTCAAGGTAACGCGCACGACCGAGAAAGGCAATTTATCACTTACCGTTTTTGCACGGACTGTCGCGCGAAAAATACTATTTTTCATATGGAGTATACTGCGTAGGGACGTGACATCAATTCACGGGGCCCCGCCCCTACTGAGATAGCGCGGTAATGAACCGATAAGAAGGCGATCGCGAATTGGAAAAAGAAATAGAAGATCGGGAATTATAACAAACATTGAAATAAATTGGAATTTTCTGAAACGAGACCGGAGAGACGAAGATTGCGATGACATTCACACTTATTTTCAAGTCTTTCAGCATTTTTTGCATTAATTTTTGAAATTGTTTCAAGCACGATCTCAAAATCATGGTGGTTTTGTTGGAATCATAAATATAAATAATGATTTTAAATTTAAATATATAAATTTATAATAAATTTATAATAAATCTCAAGTACGAATAATATATAAAGTAAATATAAAAAAATGTTACGCACGGGTCTAGACAAAAAAGCCACTATCTCGAGAACAGTGACAGATATGATAAAATTCCACAGTACCATTTCGATTCTTCTCAACAAGAGCTATGAAAAAAGTCCTATGCGTCGAAGCCATATCTATCACCGTTATTGAGAAAACAATCTCCCAACGTTTATTAGACTTACGCATAATTTTTTTGTAAAAGAGTGTAAAAAGATCGGAATATAATACATTTTCAAAACTGACAGGTAGTCCTTAGGTAGGCAAAGAGAGAGAGAGAGAGAGAGAGAGAGAGGAG